GGCTTAGACAGCAATGGACTGAGTCCATCTGTGGGGATCTGAGAAGGCGTTGCAGAGAACATTGCATGTGATCCAAACTTTCACCAGGTTTCAGAGGGGGATCTATGCAGTTAAAAAGAGGGAGCTAGCCCAGCAATTGGATATACAATTTTTTTATCTTTATTAAGTTTATTGGTAAAATTTAGGTATATAATACACTTACATTCATCATTGGGATCTCATACATTTACAAGACTCATCTTAGTTCTTATTTTTACCCATTTCCTACCCCTTTCTTCACCCCCCAAACCTTCCCTGTTTACAAAGACATTGTTTCCATGATTTTCCTTTTCTCATATTTTTTTCTTTTCCCTTTTTACCTACCCCTCCCACTTCCTCTACTATTTTAGAGCTTTTCTTCCTATTACAAAATATCAATTATACATTTTCATCCTTATTTACACTTTTAGTTTTTCACACTAGAGAAACTATTCAGTATTTACACATGTGTGTCTTATTAATTTCACTGAAGAATATGCCTCAATGTGCATACTTAGTTATAAATATCTCTACTTTCTTGTTCTTTATGGCTGAATAGTACTCATTTATAAAAACAAACAAACAAACAAACAAACACATCTTCTTTATTCAGTCTCCAGTTAATGGGCAATTGGGCTCTCTCCAAATTTTAGCTACTACAAACTGTGCTGCTATAAACATGGGTGAGCATATATTGCTGTGGTATGATTTTTAAAATTCTTTTAGGAAGATAACCCAGCAGAGGACTAGCTGAGTCAAATGGGACTTCTAGTCCTAGTTGGTTGAAGTATCTCCATATTGATTTCCACAGTGGCTGCACCAGTCTGCATGGCCACCAACAATTACGAAGTGTTCCTATCTCCCCACAACCCTGCCAGCATTTGCTATGGGTTGGTTTCTCATTAGCAGCCATTCTTTCTGAGGTGAGATGGAATCTTAAATATGCATATCTCAAATGTTGAACATTTTTTCCTATGTTTATTTGCTGCTTTTACTTTTTTTCTGAGAAATATCTGTTCATTTCAGATGCCCATTTTTAAATTGGGTCTTTATATTTGGGGGAGGGTCTGATTTTTTAATGTTCTTTATATATTCTAGTTAGTAGACCTTTGTCTGAGGAGCAACTGGTAAAATTTTTTTCCCACTTTGTGGATTGTCTTTTAGCTCTGCTGGTAATTTCTCTGACAGTGCAGAAACTTTTGAAAAAGATGAAATTCCAATTGCTGCTTTTTTGTGCTAGTTTCTGTGCTACTGAGGATTTGTTACAGCATATTGTTGGATTTTGCTTCTTAATTCATTCCTCCAGTCGATTTCTTTTGATTGGTGAATTGAGGCGATTGACATTGATGGTTGTAACTGATATGTATTGACTTGTCATTGTCATGTTATTTTCCTGTTTTTTTCCCCCCATCTCCCCTTAATTTCTTGTCTTGCCTGACGGATTTGTTCTGTCTGGCCTCATGGAATTGTGGCCTTCATTGTCTTTTTCTAGGATATTGTTTAGAATTGTTTGGAGTGCTGGTTTAATATTTATGAAGTTTCTCACTGCCTTTTCTCTTTTACTTTCCTTTTTAGTTTTATTTTAGGATTCCCTATTTTTAATGCCCCCATCTCCCCTTAATTTCTTGTCTTGCCTGACGGATTTGTTCTGTCTGGCCTCATGGAATTGTGGCCTTCATTGTCTTTTTCTAGGATATTGTTTAGAATTGTTTGGAGTGCTGGTTTAATATTTATGAAGTTTCTCACTGCCTTTTCTCTTTTACTTTCCTTTTTAGTTTTATTTTAGGATTCCCTATTTTTAATGTTCATACAGAGATTTCTTTAATTGAAATACTGAATAGTTTCTTTGGTGTGAAAAACTATAATAGTACACAGGATCCTAATGAGATATACGAAGTTTCTCAGATGTTCTTTGTCATGAAAGTATCTTATTTCTCCATCAATTTTAAAGATAGTTTTGTAGGATACATCAGCCTTTGTTGGAGGTTTTTTTTGGGAGGAGGGGCTTGAAGTACCTCACTCCAAACTCTCCTTGACTTCAGGGTTTGTAGTGAAAAGCCTTTTGTGATTCTAATGGGCGTTCCCTTACATGTAATTTGTTTTTTTCTCTAACTGCTTGTAGTATTTTGTACTTATGTTGGGTTTCTGGGATCTTGATTATTATATGTTTAGGTGTAGATTTTCTAAAAATTTTAATTAGTTGGAGTCTTATATGCCTCATTTATCTGTATGTCAAGTGCTTTTGCTCTGTTTGGGAAGTTTTCTGCTATTACTTCTGTGAACAGTATTTTTATGCCATTTGTGCTTTCTCCTGCTTCTCCTTGAACTCCTATTAATCTTATTTTATTCTTCTTTGTGTCATCTAAGAGCTGATGGATTGATTTATCATGGTCCCTTACTATTTCTAAGAGATCTCTGTTGTCATGGTTACTGACTGCCATCCTGTCTTCTATATCTGATAGTCTTTACTTCAGATTGGATTAGTCTTCTATGTGTACTTTTAACAGAGTTTTTAATCTCCTGGATGTCAGTTAGAATCTATTTTATGAATTCCACTTCTTTCTTATGTTAGAACTTCATCATTTTCATTTCTTTCCTAAGCTGAGCATTCATGGCTTTCATCATGGTCCTGAACTCATCTAGATTTTTTTTTAATCTATTTCTGTTCCAAAGTTTATAATCATGGCTTTTATCTGGGAAATTATTTCTGTTTTGAATATTTCTAGAGCCTCATTCACCTGTTTGTTTTTTTACTTCTTGTTCAGATTGCCCAGGTGGTTAGCTACCAGACTTTTCCATCGTGTTTTCTCCAGAATTTGCCTTTGGTAAACTGGAAGACTGCGTCTAGTTTAAAGGTCTTTTCATTGCTATTATTGTTGTTGGTATAGTCCTTGGCTTAATTCCTGGGTTTACACTTCAGTATTACTCATCTATACTGCAGAAGAGTGGGGGATCTTAAAGGCCATTGCTGAAGCATAAGTGCATAACAGTAAGAGGACCTTGCTCCTAAGTCACTATTTCAAAGGATAAAGTTACTATATTGATCGGTTTATTCATTATAAACATATTTTGGGCTAGTCTTTGATTTCATTTCATTTCACATGGTTAAAGGTGATAGATTAATAAGTACCACGAATTGTCATTTTCTAAGATGTGTTTGATTCTACTGTTGTTGCTGGTTGTATCACTTGGGATAGTGTTGTGATTGATCTAATTAGTTATCTTTCCTGGTACAATGAAAATGAGATTGCCCCAGAGTTATTAGAGACTCAAATCCTAAAGATCAGCTACATCTGGATGACACTTCTGAGAGGGAATCATTCCATAAGGGTTCTAAATACATATACATTTATAATAAAAATCACATGTCATATTCTGGATACTCTCTAGATATACAATGTTATTTTGTTTTAGTTTGTTTTTTATCCTCTTTATAAATTCCAGTTTCCTTTTCCAATAGATGGTAAAATAATATCATTGTCTTCATACGATCGGTGTAAGCACTATATGTTATAAATGCATAAAATAATTTGGCATGGTTTCTGGTACAAAAAAAACTATGAAATTCAACAACCTGTTTTTATTGATGTTCCTATTATATTTAATTTTGCATTTCAGAGGGTGAAATGGCATGAAACTGGTGTGTAAAGAGGCTATTAAATGTAGACTTTAGAGCCTTTGTTTTTGAGAAAATGAAGAAGGAAATTTGGATGAAAAAGCAGGTAAGAATTAGATTGATAGCAACATGGAATGTGGTTCTGAAGGCTTGAGGCTTTAATGACAGGAGTGTAAAATAGAGATATTTTTGGTTTTCTGTCAGTCAAAGTGTATATTTAGGCATGAAATGGCCTTTCAGTCCTTGTAAATCAATTCACATTGGTGACCTGGCCAAATTCTGTCTGAGAAGGAAATGTTGCTTGTGGCAGGATTTATTCCCTAGCCAATCTTTTCCATTTTCCTGCCAAAATGAGGACCCCTTTCATTGTATGATGGAGAGAGAATGCCACATGTAATTAGAGAGAATGAGCAGAGGGGAAGAGAAACACGGTGAGCATACCACTGTGCTGGCGGAAGTCTCCCAGGAACAGACGGGATGCCTTGTGACAGATGCCTTGGTTATGTTGTTTGTTAAACACTGTGTGGCTGCATTTCACAACATTTCTGAATCTGCCCCTGCATTCCCTGGACATTTTGGCAGAATATAATGGAAACTATTGGGGCTGGGGCTGGGGAGTTAGGTGTGGACAGCAAAGAGAGGCTAGTGATATTGAAGAAGTGAAATTAGTATTCAAAGGCATCTTCATCCAAATATACCATTCTCACAAAATCCCTGGTTATGATGAAGGTCTGAGAGTCATTGCTTAAGAGGTATATTCATTGCATCAATTAAATTCAAATCTGATGAATATCTGAATACCATTAATGGAAATGTGTTAGCTCTGGTGATAGGAATAAGATAAAATACTATACTTACTCTCTCAAAGGATTATAAATCAATTGAAAAACTGGTTAATATAAACCCATGTGTACACACTTGTGCACACGCACATATCAGAGAGATTAAGGAGTAATGCAATTAAAATATCCTGCATTTATTGAAGTTTAATGGAAAGGAGGATAGTAAGAATTAATGAGGGAAGTAAATTTTATTATAGGTGAAAAATGAAGGAAGGGTGAAATTTTGACCCCTGGCAATGTGTGAAGTACAAAATGCAGAAAGAGAATGGGCTAAGGTGGGGAGACTGATGTTAGGAAGGAGTGAGTGATTCTATGGACCTGGAGTATAATACTGTAGAGAGGAGAAGTACGTACAGGAAGAAGACAAATTGGAAGTTTACCAAACATAAGAAGATACTTGCATAGGAAAAGCAGGGACTGAAAAAAGAGCAGAAAAGGCAAAGAGAGAGAGAGAGAGAGAGAGAGAGAGAGAGAGAGAGAGAGAGAGAGAGAGAGAGAAAGAGAGGGAGAAAAAGAGAGAGAGAGACTTTTGGCAAAACAGATCCATCGAGAGATGTCTTAACATTTTTGTGACACTTCAGTTTCTTCTTGGAGTTGTTGAAAATTCTCAATGAAATGCATCCTCAGGTGAGAGAAATTATAAAAATGCAGTAGCCTAACTGTTGTCTCAAATCTCTTCTACTGTCAACTCTAATCCAGTTATTCACTCTGCACTCAGCATCTGTCAAAGACAGTGGAAAGTAGGTGTAAATAAATGTTTGGATTCGAGTGAGTTTCACAGTGAGGAGCTAGAGCTGAAGTAGTCTCTGCTCTGTGCCATAAAAGAGGCTGGGGACCAGTTTTATTGATTTCTTTCTTGAAGATGTAGATCCTGGTGCAATCTGACTCTGAAGGATCTTACATCTTTATAGGGAAGGTCAGCATCAGTTCCATAAAGATGTTGTATAGGTCTTCCAGGGCACAGGAGGAGAAATAAGTATTAAACAGTGATCAATAGCTCACCTTATTCCTCTTAGTGGTGGAAAGATACACAGCAAAGAGAAATTCTTACACCCTACGTCAAAACTGAATCCTTCCTCTGCTTTCCCAGACAGCATACTTGATTTCACTCTGGGAGCTGTCATTACCTAGACTAAACCAAAAGACAGTCAAGAGTGCTGACATAGTAAGGTTGTCACATGTCTTGAGGGGCAAAGAGAGAAGAGTGAGCTAACATAATAGGCATTCACATAGTAGAACGTTGCAATGAGTCAATTTGAAGACCAAATAAAAACATTGTCTGTGAGAACAATAAGAACCCTTAAAAAAACTCATTCAGAGTTGGACAAAATAATTTCTGTAACTAAATTGATAACTTTTAAAGTAAAAACAGATTATAAAATGATAAATATAAAACAAAACTGTAGATCACTATTTGCGAAGATATTAAAGATCTGAAATTAAAAGATATGTAGGAAATCATTCTTACTTCCCAATAAAAGGAATAAGAAGTGAGTTCACAAACAGAAGAATCAAAACATAAACATTTGATTCTAATTTTTTCCCCTTATGAAGACCTGCCATGTAAAGGTTCAAGATCCCAATGATGAATGTAACTGTGCTGTATACCTAAAATGTACCATTAAACTCAATGAGAAAGAAAGGTAAACATTGAATCTGTATGTCTGTATGTGTGATGCATGGATTTTTTGAAATTGAGTAATATAAGTGTTAAATAAATGTGTCAACATAGGAAGGCCATATTAAATTTCAAAAAATGCAAACGCCAGCCTATGGCATGATCAAGGTAAAGGGGAGAGAGAAAAGTAAAAGAGTTTTTACAGTCTTTCCTAGGGTAAGGCCAGAAGCAGGAGGAGAAAGGAATGAAAAGTGTTTATTTTCTTGAAAAATTGTAAGTAAAGGGAAAATAATTTTTTGTTGAAAGTGAATATATCATTTTTTTAAATTATTGGCAAACAGCTTTAGAGCTCAAGTATGGAGAGAGTAAATATTAAAGGAAATAAATTATTGAAGAACTTTCAAATTTTTGAAAAAATAGAAGAAACTGATGAAACTATAGGAGTTTACAAATCATTGTAATTGTCCCCAAAGAAATAAAATATAATAAATCAAGTATAATAAAACATAGAAAATATGATTAAATAACAGTAGCAGAAAATGATAGGTTCACAGCTGATTCTATGTAGAATTTCAAGAAAAAATGAAAAAAGCATTAATAGCTAAAATTTACCAATGTATTATACATGAGAAAAAAGCAAAATATAATGAAAATTTAAAAATATATAAATTATTTATGTAAAATGTAAAGTGTAAGTACATAGAAGGAATTAAGCATATAATTTTGACTTCTCCAAATAAAATTGACTTCTCTAAAATTCAGTTGCTATTAGATTGTGTTAAGCATCAAAATATATGCTATATGTTATTTACAAAAACATACTTAAACATATTTAGTAATAACGTAGATCAATTACAGTGGGATAGCCTAAGATATGTTATACAAATGCAAACAGTAGCAAATGACCAAAAATGAACCTCAATGATAACAATATTAATATAAAAATTTAAACTTTCCAAAGCAACCAACACAGTAAGTAACACCAGAAAGCAAAATCCACTAAAATGTGAGAACTTGCTAAATATACAGTTACAGAGGCTTCTAAAAGGTATTGTTTAGAATTAAAAACTTCTAACACAAAATTTCATAGGACTTAAGATTTAAATATTAATCACTGTTAACTGAAGGAGAAAATGGAATCATTTCACATGCTTTATAAAATAATATATAATTTTCCTATCTTAAAAATTTAATTTAGTAATATATGTAGCAGGAAAGCAATTCATAATTAAAAATCAAGAGCTATTATAGGTTATAATTTTTCTTAATATCCTTATTTATGAAGTCTATTAAATTTTTTACTAAAATATCTGAAAAAATTGAAATTAAATAAATCTGTATAACATTTAGATTAAAGAAGAAACCAAGATTTAACGAAGAAATCATCTAAAAAGCAATATGTTTGTATTTGCAAAATTCTTCATAATCAAGATAGAAAAATTAGTGCTTATTTATAAGAATTAAAGGCAAAACAAATAAAACTGAAAATAACATTAACTTTTCTGGTTTGAAAAACTATAATAGTATACAAGATCCTAATGGGATAATTAAGAGTGTGAAATAGGAAGAAAAGGGCTAAAGGTGTAGGGAAAGTGCGAAGGGTAGGGAAAAGGAAATAAGGGAAAAGAAAAAATACGAGAAAATGAAAAAATGGAAATAAAGAGTTGGTGAATGGAGAGGGGAGGAGGGGGTGAAGGGAGGGCAGGGACAAGGGGAAAATATGAGAACCAAGACCTGTCATGTGAAGGTACAGGATCCCAGTAATGAATGTAACTGTATTGTAGGCCTAGATTGTACCAATAAACAATAGAAAGAAAAAAAATAACATTAACTTTGATCAGGGTGATATTAAAGATGAAAGCTGAAATTTAAAATTATGATGAACAAGAAAAGACATATAGCATGCAAGCTACTGGGTTGAAAAGGAGGTGGAACCGGTTTATTCTTTTTAACACAACTAAGAATGAAATATAGGAATTCATTGTGTTAAAAGTTAAGAAAAATTATGAAGATATAATCACAAGTAAAATGTGATCAACCGATCCTTGCAAATATTTTATGGTACAATTTTATAAATATAGAGAAAAAATTATTTCCTAGGAATCAGTAAATGATTACAGTTGAACTCCAAGAAATAAAAAGGAAATAAAGTTCAAAAAATACCATAAAATATGCTTAACTATCATCACAGCAGTCACTAAAAACGAGTAGGTTCATAGCTAATTATATGTAATGCTTTAAGAAAAACAACCTCAAAAGTATTACAATAAATTATTCCATATTAAAAAGCAGCACTTCAATTTATTTTATAAAGGCAATAGAGATTAAAATCATATTCTGCTCTAGTGCTAATTAGAAAATTTTGATATTTTTCTATACATTTCTATATGCATGTATGTACACATTTTATGCATATGTATATGCTAGATTTGCTCTAGAAATTTATAAGTGGTTCAAACTACTAGCTAGTCTGCTGTATCAAAAATTAAAGGGAAAATCTTAAGATTTCATCAGTAGATAATTAAAAGGTATTTGGGAAAAAAATCAGCTTACTAAGTAAAATTTGTAGATAGACTGTTAAAACTACCTTTAAAACATATGATCCTAATGTATGAATATACAAACAAATTTAAAGTGTTCTACACAAAAAAATCTATATAATAATCTTTATAATAATGTAATTTTTAACATTCTTAAATGCTCTGGCAGATTGAATATAAAATGAAGTCAGGATAATTGATTAACAATAAATGATTAGAGCAGGAAAGAAACCAATAGAATCATAGGAAATTTGAGTAATGTTGCTCTACACCAGAAAAAATATCCATGAATATACTTTCCCATGTGTCCCAGTATAAACACCATTTAGACGTTTAGGAGATGATTTCTGTTTATATAAGATTAAAACATGATGTATAATTAAACATAAATCTAAACCTAAAATTGAAGTATTTACATGCAAGTATGAAAAGATATATAGAGTAATAATGTTAAAATTGTGCTTTTACTCATTGCTATTTTAATTCATGTTTTCTAAAGTATGGATTTCCACTTGGAAACCCAACAGCAATTTTGGAATAAAATTACAAAGTTTACATTTTATAATGGAGAAGAGAACACAAAAGAAAAGCCAAGGAGAATGCCAAAGAATAGCTGAGAAGTAAAGCTGTGTTAAAGATCTTAGAACCCCAGCTTAAATCAATGTCATGAGCTGAATATGGGGTTGGATGGGAGTAAGAAAGACACGAGAACTAAGTGAGAGCAGACATACTTTGCTGAAATAATTCCAAGCACATACAGAAGTACCTGGGAAATACTGGCTAATCTAATTTATAAAGGAGGTTTATTTGGAGGTTTTTATAAGAACCTGGAAATTGATACTAATATAATTCCATTTGTGACACTGAAAAATAATTTCATCAAAGTATGATATATGTACAATCTTAAGTGTTGAAAAAGTTTGAAACTCATCCCACATATGTATATAAACTCATCTGATACACTGTATATAATATACATTATATATATATATACACACACACACACACACACACACACACACACAAATAACATTAGTGCATTTTCCCAAAATCTACCCCTAAACTCTTCTCCAAGAATAACCTCTCTCAACTCTAAAATGATAATTTTCCCCCCATAGGAAGCTGTGAGATGTTACCATTCACGTTGTTGAAAATTATTATTATTATTTTAGTCTCTCATCTCAAATGCTCCATTGGCCAAGTCATCATTGTCCTCATAAAATAATGAGAAGATTTTGGGTAGTTACTGTAAGTTGAGTAGCATACAATTATATTTTGGCCCATATTGAGCCAATCTGAATAACATTTGTTTTTCAAAAAGTTGAAGAATTTGAGGACTGGCAAGATGAATCAGTTACTCAAGTTCCCACTGCTAAGAGGCAAGAGAGCCAAGATTCAATACTATTTTTGGTGTTCATCATTCTATGGCCTGATGATTCTACAATATAAGTTGCTATTAAGATTAAATCAGATAATACTTATGAAGTGTTTAACAGGTGATATACTCTAAAATAAGTGCTTTATAAAAGTGGAAGCACAAGAGTAATGTCAAAGTCATTCAGCTCTTAATTTTGTGTCCAGTTTAGTTTATTAACCTCAAGTTTGCAGGTGAGAAAATTGAAGCTTATGATGGTTAAATTATCTGTTGATTTCTCACAATACCTGGAAGAAGACAGTGATCCTCAGCCATTTCCCTCCAAATATAATCTTCATTTTCACTTGACAGACCCTGGTTCACCTGCTGCTGAATTTTCCTCCAGATAGAGGGCACACCAAGCTCTTTTCCGCGGGAAGCAACTTTATTCATGCCAGCACTGACTCAGTGGATTCCATTCCAATGGCTGAGTGCTGAATACGGCCTAGTTGCAGCATTTGATACTATGTTTGTGTATTTGTCTTTCTTATATGGGCATTCAATGACATTTTACAGTCTGGCTGGGTATCTATTAATGTTCTACAGTCTGGTTGGGTATG